GAGAATGGAATTTAATCACTTTACACAGATTATTGTTTGTTAGTAAAATTACATAAAATACTCCAAAAAACAAAATCTTCTTCCTTTAAGATAATTTGCTCTACCAGTTAAAAGGAAGTCAACGGTGTTTACTGCTCTGCAAGCACACAATACTGATTCAAGCTCACAGGTGATTCAAGCACACACTACTGATTCAAGTGCACAATAGTGATTCAAGTGCACACTACTGATTCAAGTGCACAATAGTGATTCAAGTGCACAATAGTGATTCAAGTGCACAATAGTGATTCAAGTGCACAATAGTGATTCAAGTGCACAATAGTGATTCAAGTGCACAATAGTGATTCAAGTGCACAATAGTGATTCAAGCATACAATAGTAATTCCAGGATATTATAGCGATTCAAGCCCACTATAGTAATTCAAGCACACACTACTGATTCAAGTGCACAATAGTGATTCAAGTGCACAATAGTGATTCAAGCACACAACAGTGATTCAAGCACACACTAGTGATTCAAGCATACAATAGTAATTCCAGGATATTATAGTGATTCAAGCCCACTATAGTAATTCAAGCACACACACTAGTGATTCAAGCATACAACAGTGATTCAAGGACATGATAGTGATTCAAGTCCACTATAGTAATTCAAGCACACACACTAGTGATTCAAGCATACAATAGTGACTCAAGTACACAGCAGTGATTCAAGCACACAATAGTAATTCAAGGACATCATTGAGATTCAAGCACACTATAGTGATTCAAACGCACAATAGTGATTCAAGCATATTATTTACTTGATGGTAATTCAAGTATCTTTTGCCAATACAAAAGCCATTTACAACTTGTCTCATAATTTGCTCTTAAATATCTTACTGTGATTGAATTTAATTGTAACTTTTAAGACTTTTACTGTATTCTTCATAAAAATAAAGTAATTACTGTAACAAAATAAAAGTATATACAGTACTATACCCAGTAACACAAAGCTTTAATTTTCTTCCATATACAATTTACAAAGTGATATGAAAACTCTGTTCAGATGATTTAAGAAACAGTTGTTGTATATGTTATCTGCATTGGCAAAGGTGATTCAAGGGGCTTCTAATGTTGTAAAAGGTGTAGGCCTACTGTCAATCTGCTCACCATGTTGTAAGGTGCAAACCTACTGTCAATCTGCTCACCATGTAACATTAAATCCTTTAAACTATTTACTTCAACTACAGAAGTGCTTCCATACTAACTACACTAAAATTCTCATTAAAACACCAAAGACAATATACAGTAATTCCCTGTTTGTTGGGGACAAAAGCTTGTACTTTAGACTTATTGAGGTCCCCCTAGGCCTACTACTAACCTTTCCCAAGGATGCAGCCCATAATAGTTGCCAAACTCCTGGCACCAATTTTACTGCTAGGTGAACAGAGGCATCAGGTGAAAGGAAAGGTGTCCAACCATTTCTGTCCTGCCCGTGGATTGAACCCAGATCCCACGATTGTGTGCCAAGGGCATATAGGCGACTCTGCTATAAGGCCCGATTTAATATCTGTTGTGTTTCCCTCAGTCCTACAGCAAAAATATTCTCGAACACCTTCGTGTTCACCAGAGTTTCAGTAATTTGAAGATAATGATTTTATCATTAAGATAATCTGAAAGATTATCTTTCAATAATTATTTTCTACTAACTTTTCTAGTGTGTGACATATAGAAAACTATCATTCAGAAATTCCTGGAACTTCTGCAATTAGAATTTATAGTTTTAATGTCAAATTATGTTAATATCAAAATCATGATGTACAGAGGCTTCATTATATCTAATACAGACAAGTAACTCTATAAACTTTTCAGTCATAAAGAAAAAACAAATTATAACAAATGATCATGTATAAAAACCTGACTAAAACTATCTATTATAAATACTGGCAATATTCATTATACTGTGAAGACTAAACCACACACCAGAAGATGAAGAGACGACAACATTTTGGTCCGTCCTGGACCATTATCAAGTCAATTGTGATTAAGATTAAGCCACCCAAAAGGTGGCACGGGCATGAGTAGCCCGTAAGTGGTGGCCCTTTTGAGCCATTACCAGTATCAAGAGCTGATACTCGAGATTTGTGGAGGTGCGAGTGCACCCTGCGTGACGGGACATGTCTCCCGTCGATTGTGATGAAAGTGAGTGAGGTATTAAGTAAGGCAAGAGAGAGGTGGAGGTGAGGAGGAGGAAATTCCTAAAGGAAGGAAGAGCAAGACAAAAGGTATGGATTGGATGGGTGTAATAAAGGGGTGTAAGAAGGGGAGTAATAATGGGTGTAAGAATGGGAACATAAGAATAAGAGGAGAAAGACAAAAAAAGAAAAGGATGGGTAGGCTTATGTTAGGTCACGTTTGTTGGAAAGGTTAGAGCATTTGAGTATGTACTGTGAAACGGAAGAGTCAACAGCAACAAAGAAAGGACTAGGGTTCATATTGGGTATGTTGTGTATCAGAGCTGATTCGACAAGACGGTGTCTGTGAAGAGTAGAGGCAGGAAAAGATTATTTTAGAAGAAGACCTATCAATAGGATGATTAGAATCCCTAACATGACAGAAGAAAGCATTGTTTGTGTCTACAGACTTAACACTTCTTTTATGGTCCTTAAGTCTGTCAATCTAGAATACGACCAGTTTCCGCAAAGTATTGGAGAGGACAAGATGAACAGGAAATAGAGTAGACACCTGTAACATTAGGAGCAGGAGGAACAGTGTGAACCAGATTACTACGAAGAATGTTAGTTTGTCGAAAGGCGAGCTTTATGTCAAGAGGACAAAGGGTATTAGTGAGATTTTTGAGTTTAGATATGAAGGGAAGGGAAGCACAGTGGTACTAGTGTTGGAAACAGGTTTTGGATGGAAGAAATTTTGTTCAGCTTGAGAATAGGCACAGTTGACAAAATGTAAGGGGTAATCAAGGCAAGAGAAAGATTTGTAAAAGGCAATTTCAGAATCAAGAAACTGAGGGTCACTGATGCGTAGAGCGAGGAGGAAGAGAGAGACGAGAACACTTTTCTTAACAGAAAGGGAATGGTAGGAAAAGAAATCGTCGTCTCCTCATCTTCTGGTGTGTAGTTTAGTGTTCATATCTTCAGTCACATTATTGTGACTCATAGTCTTCATTATACTGTAACTATTTCATTCTCAATCTTTGCATACAGATTTAGTATTTGGTGAAATGATAAATTCTAATTAGACACTAAATTTATAAATTCTTTACTAATGAAGAAATATTGTATTTTATAAAACTGAGGTGGATTGAAACTGCCAACAGTACATGTACAGAACAGTATATTATGTGGGCTTCCTGAAAGCAAGATGAATATCATCTACAGGACGAGACCACTCCGAGGAAAAAGGAAATATCAGCCATACAAACCATGTAATCTTGAAATTACCACATTGGTATTACTTGGTGCCTTTAAGGTGTAAAAGTCATGCTGCGAAGGTTTCCAAGCCAGTGATGTCACACATAGGCCTACAGTGTCACAGATAACTGATGCTACTCTAGATTTATTTTGATGAGGAAGATGTTATTTTGTATAGTTTATTAAAATAATGCCAGAGAAACACAAACATTCATTAAATGTAACTTCAACACTAATATAATGCAAATATGTAAATGCCAATGCACCAACAAATTTTAAAAGTTAAAGCATTTAACCAGTTATTTTAGTTTATTTTAGTTCTAACCAGTTACCATCAACCAGGTAACCAGGTATTTGAATGCTTATTAAAAACTAATGCTTTTCAAAATTTTGTCACAGTTAATGCATATGAAAACAAAAAGTAGCCCAACTGTTTTAAAACTATCCAAAATGTTATTTTCACTTAAAACAACCTCATTAAATATTGCTAAAGGAAAGTTTAAATTATAAATATATAAATACTGTAACTAGAAAAGTCTGTTCTAAACATACTCAAAATATTAAACACCTGTATATGTATATTATCAAAATATTTATCAAAATCAGCAGAAGAGAATCACAAGCAGATAATATTCATAAGAATATATAAAAGTAAAAAACTTATGAAATAAGTGTTTTAAGGACTTATAACTAATAAATATCACAAACCAGCCATTATACAAAAAAAAAATTAAAAAGCAAAGCACAGCTTAGGTATGAGCATCCATAATGAAGTCAGAATGTTAAGCAGTTACGTCAACGTGTGGTTAGTGGGCTACTGGCTAACATGAAAGACATCAAGTGCTCAATACAGCTGCAAGAAATGTGCTCTTTAAGCTGAAGATAGGCCTACTGATGTTGTATAGGCCTACTTGTAGCAATACAACATCTAAAATGAACTGGCACTGAAGAGGCATATTAGAGAAATAATAAAAAAAGATTAAATTTGGGAATACACCATATTGGAATTATGTTCTATAGTTGCCAAATTTTCTAGCTCATCCACATAAAAAGGAACCTTAATCATTCTTACATCTACTCCTTATAAGACATTTTATAAATACTGGAAATGTTCACAGCATTTATCCTCCTTTAATTCAACTTCAGATGAAGTGATTAATCTCTCGTTTATTTAAGAATTAGTATTATAAAATATTTACAGTAAGATCCAGATACACTCATGTTAGTATTACAAATGAGATAGAAAGGTTTGTATAATACAGTACAGTATTAGTTAAGAATTATAATGCATTGTGCAGAAAAAATGTACATTGTTATTCATATTTTTCATCATGCAAATCTCTAGTCTCACTGCAGCAGTTATAGCAATGATACCATACATTTGCCTTGATTTATAAGTACAGTACTGTATATTTCTTTTATGAAAAATTGGAGTTTAAAAGCACAGGTGTTATGTAGCATCGCTCATGAGTGTGAGGACTGAGAGAAAGATTAGAAGAACAAGAGGAAGGTGTTAAATGTCCTTCTTGCACTCGTCCTTAGCCAGATCCTTGTATGAAGTGGACTTGCGTATCCCAAAGGTTGGCTCACCAATGGAGTAGAAGTAGGCTAGACAGATCAGACACATCACTGCTCGCATGCCTATAATCATCACTAGACGATTCTCGAGCAATGCTTCATCTTCATTCTGTCAGAAAAAGTGCATTTATATTTCAGGGCTTTATTCAATTTGCATTGTGAATATGCTTGAATAGTGAATATAAATTAATTATAAACATGTGCAGATGTGTAAAGGATATCTTAGCAAATTAAATACCTATTAAAATATATATACAGTATTGTACGAATGCAATAAATTGTACAGAAAATTATATACATTACCTCAAAAGAAGTGCATTTTGAAAGATATTTTCCCATTTGATTAAAAAATGTAATTAAAGTCAGCATTTTAAGGAATCAATCTAACTACTGTATATTTCTAGCCATTTCCCAAATGTTGTTTACACTTAATCTTCACTTTTCCACAACTTATTGAGTCTTTCCATCTATTAACTGACCATCTTCTTTTAGGCTTCATTATTATTATTATGATAGTACTGTACAGCCAGATTCATTCTCGACTCACATTCGAGAATTCCAGGCTCAAATCCTGAGCAGGACAGAAATGGTTGGGTACATGTTCTATCACCTAATTTACCCAAGGACCACTAACACTAGTGGCCTCGATGAGGACAGGAAGCTGGCAGCTTGTCAAAGGTCCCTTCATTTGTACTGATGATTTTTTCAAGCTGGATTTTAAAATTCCAAAGTTTTTCAGCATTAACAACTTTGGCACGTAGGCAGTTGCGTGGGTTTAAAACCCCATAGGTGAAAAAGCATCTCCTATTTTCTGTCCTACATTTGTGGCTTGTTGAGGTTGAAATCTTTGCTCCTTGTTCATGTTACATCTGACCTTTTTGAAGAAGTTGTTTGGATCAATATCCTCCAAAATGTTCAGTATTTTAAAAGTTTTGATGAGATAAGCTGTGTCATGTCTGGTTTGCAGTGTTGTTAGCCCTGTGGCCCTCAAATGTTCCTAGTATGAGAATCAACTGTAGATTTTTATTGGTTTTACTTTTGAAAAAAGCATACGCTCGACAATTTTTTAGTTCAATAGGAAGTGAGTTCAATAGACTGGGGCCCTTTTATTTACGTGGAATGTTTGCACAGATTTAGTCCGACTCTAGAGATATCAAAGAGATATTTATTCCTGGTGTGGTGCTCATGGGTTCTATTACATCAAGGAAGAAATTCAGCTCTGGATTAGCACTTAGAAACGAGGTTTATTACATGTAAATAGTACAAGAGAATGCATGGAGTGAGTGTACGTTTAGCATGTTTAGGGATTTAAACAGAGGGTCTGTGTGTTGTCTGAAGACAGAATTTTTTATCGGTCTGATAGCAGATTTTTGCAGAGTGACGATGGGCTTGAAGTAATTTGCAGTGGTTGAACCCCATGCACAGATACCATATGCAAGATAGGGATAGATTAGCGAGTAGCATAGTGAAAGAAGGGCAGAGTGGGGAATATAATATCTGATTTCTTTTTGTCCTTTTCTCATGCCCTTGCGCCACCCATAGCTCTGCTGTTCAACTAATTTTTAGAGTGTCATACCTTCTCTGATATCCTTAAAAAAGCAAGAGTAACGCCAGTTCATAAAGGAGGCAATCCGGCAGACATAAACAATTATAAACCAATATCAAACCTACCCATACTATTAAAAATATTTGAAAAATTTATCTAGAAACAGCTCTACTCCTATCTCATAAAATTTGACATACTCAGCCTCTGTCAGTTTGACTTCCGCTCCCAAAAAGAGTACCAACGATGCAATTATTAGTCTCCTTGATATAATCTACTCAGCCCTTGAAAAAAATGAGTTTCCGACTGGACTCTTCATTGACCTGAGAAAGGCCTTTGATATTGTTAATCACAACTACCTCTTACTTAAACTCCATCATTATGGAATGATACAACCTCTCCCACTCTTCCAATAACCGTTGGAGTGCCACAGTGGTTGGGTCTGTAGTCCTCCCAGGCACTGCATCTGGTCTGCAGATTGGTTACCTCAGGCGTGGTCGAGCCACCCTCATCCCTTCTGGTCTTGGTCCCAAAGTGGGATTCGGTGTACCTACGGTAGATTCTCGATCTTTCAGGTCTGATTGACTTCATCCCTTGCCCAACTTTCTGTATGACCACTTTGGCTTATGTTCATCTGCTATCAGGCTGAGGCTTGGATAGTGTCCCAGGACCTCAAGGATGTGTATTGGCACATTCCTATTCCTCCGGGGCTTAGGGACTGGTTAGGTCTTTACATGGGGATGTCGTGCTTATAACGCCAGGGTTTAAACCAGGTTCTGGTTTGAACCTGGCCCCTTGCACGTTTACCAGGCAAGCGTGGGTCGTTGTGACGTGACCAGTAAGGGGGTTCGTGTGTTGGCCCACCTCGATGACTGGCTGGTGTGGGTCCCAGTCAGTCTGCATGTCAGCTGGCCAGAGATCTGGTTCTTTCCCAACTTGCCGGGTTCAGATTCCTGGTGAACTCGCGGAAGTCCCAATTGGTGCTGTTCCAGGTACAGATTTAGTTGGGTCTTGTTTGGGACTCTCGGTCAGTATCTCTCTCCCTGCCTCCGGCATCTTTGCTTCACCTGCATCTTTGTCGTGCTTCCTCCAGGTGAGATGGGGGCTTAGTGCTCGTACTCCATAAATTGTGCGGCTCCTTCACACTTTATTATAAAACAAACATTAGGTATATTATTTTACATACATACATGAACCAGTATTGGCATATTTGTATTATAAGATTGCTAATCAAGCAACCTAATTACTTCTCTCTCTTCCTTACCTGTTGTGTGAAAGCAGAGGCAGCCCCAACACAGATGGAGAGTATGTGGTAGGTGAGCATGGAGAGGAGCATTGTGCGAGCATAGTGCTTGTCTGAGGTCCCAAGCAGTGACCACACGAACACGCACAGACCTACAATAGAAACATAGTTACACCTGCCAAGTTTTGGGACCACTGAGATACGCAGTTCTTAAGTTTAATAATTTAGCTTGTAATACTTTTCACGCTCACGGCACGCAAGAGTGTCAGGTAGATCCAGGTAAAAAAAATGGAATGTAAATATGGTGACATTCAACAAATTGTGCAGAAACTGGCGGTTCTTCGGTTGATAAGTCTGCAAAGGCCGTGGTAAAGTAATTAGCATTCCGGAAAAGGCGGGGGGGGGTAGGAGGAACCACCTTACTCTATGAAACAGATGGCTAGGAGGCCCCATGTAGCTCTAAAAACATATAGCTAGGAGGAACCACCTAATCTTAAGAGAAAGGTGCCTAGGGGGCGCCTCTTAGCAGGCAGAAAACAAAATACCAACCTGCCAAAGCAGCACCGGCGACGCGGGAGGCGGTGACGCCGGCGCCCTGAGGATCATCATCAGCCTCCGTCATGTCAGGGGGCATGACCCCCAGGTGGGCGGCGATGCCGGGGAAGAGCAGCAGCAGGAGGGTCTCCACCGTGACTCCGGCGCCCATCAGGACGTGGGCGGACCAGAAGCCTCGGGGCAGCCGCACGTACAAGTGCTCATTGTGACCCAGCACCTGTGAGATCTGTCGACACGGAGCACACTTTGTATCGCATACACTATATCACTGCGTCACCATACTACTACTTGTACTACTATTGCTACTACTTGTACTATTACTTGTACTACTACTATTTGTAGTACTATTACTGCTACTTGTACTACTACTATTTGTAGTACTATTACTGCTACTTGTACTACTACTATTTGTAGTACTATTACTGCTACTTGTACTATTACTTGTACTACTACTATTTGTAGTACTATTACTGCTACTTGTACTTTTGGTACTCGCAGAAGTAGTACTGCTACTTATACTACTTGTACTACTACTTCTGCTACTTGTACTATTAATACTTTACTACACCTAATACTACCATTATTACTACTACAGCTGCTATTTATAATATTGTAATTGTTACATTAATATTATTAATAATAATTATACAGTAAGCAAACACCGCCCTATCCCCGCTGGAGAGGGCGGTGTTTGTGGTGATGAGGAGAATGAGAAAAATCAAAATAAGATTTTGGATAGAATGACAGGGTGGTGGTAGTATTATATTTTAAAGTAATTAGCACCAGTCAGTCATCTAGAGACACACTACTCCTATGCTCTTTACTCAATCCACTCTACTACTCTCTCTACTCCTTCCTACTCCTCCTCCTCCTCTTTCTTCTCTCCCTCCTGACTCCCTTCTTCATGTTCGCTCTCCGTTTTCTGTTCCCGCTGCCTCTACCTTAGTCCCTCCCCCATGTTCTATCCACTCACATTTATTCTATCCTCCCTTACTCCTTCTTCCTTACTTTTCTTTACTTCTCATTATTAAGGAGTAGAAAACACGCGAGGTGTTACACCTGTCCGATAAAAAACTTAAGGGTACTAAAGTTGACTTCGTTTTCGACTTACAGTCATGAATTCCGGGTTCGAGTCCTGGTCGGGACAGAAATAATTGGGTTCTTCCTATCACCTAATGTCTCTGCTCACCTAGCATTAAATAGGTACCCAGGAGCTAGTTTTGGCGTTGCATCCTGGGGTGGGTCAGTAGTTCAACTTTGGGGGTTGACCTCGATATAAGCCTATGTATATATACACAGGCTGCCTTGTCACCCCTACAAAATGAATTATAAACTTGCAGATAGACAAAGGGACAAAAACACCAACACTTGTTTAATATAGCGTAGTTACCCCAGTGTTGTCGGGACCTCAGACGAAGGTAACGTTTTCTCTATTTCAATCTGCCGTAGGATTTACAAGGCTCACTACCAATCACAGAGTAATACCCAGGCTGAGGAAGAAGGGTCTGCCACTGACGCAGGCTGGCCTGCGTCAGTGGCAGACTGACTGCTGCCTCGCCACCCATTCAATTTACTCAGGAGTACGTTCTCTCTCGTCTCGTACTTGCTTGTTTGAAAAACATTATCCGTGGAAGCGTTGTGTCGCTGAGCGGATACAAGTCACATTGTACATAAGACTTGACAATCCTAGTAATCCTGACAGTAACAGACTTGAAATCCTACCTAGCCTTACCTAACCTAACCCAATCGAACCTAAAACATCCTAATCTAACGATACACAATTTTGACAATCATAAATCTAGCTTTTATCGATCCATCTCTCGTACAATTTAACCATACCCCCGTTGGGCGACAGAAGAGAGAATGTTAAGAGAGTTTTAAAGTTAAAACAAACTTCTCTACGCCATCGCTTCTAGGTGACTGGAGAGTGTCAGTCAGAGTCTTGACAATCACAGCTCTTAACAGTCAATGGAATTTCTGGGTCAAGTACTTGTATTTCCCCATAGTGCTCAAGTGCGGATCGAATTACTTGTGCGGCCCTGGTTCAACTGCTGCATAATCTTAGAGTCCCATTTGTCGCTTTACATAACGTGAACTGCTCGTTTCTACATCTGCTCTTCTAAACGATAGGGAATTACCAACAGATATAACCCAAGCACTTGGGGTAATTGGTACACCGACGACCCTGCTTTTTTGTAGGTAATTATAATGTATATAATTCTTATATACATTAAACTCTCCATCGTGCACATAGTTACAGAAAAATAAGAGGATGGGTTGTATTATATTGTAGCCTGAAGCAAAGAAACATTCGTCTTGATAAAGAAAAGTTAAAGACAAAGGCACAGTAACAGGTCCTGACACGTATAACCCAAGATGATGAAGATGTTCTAGAATCGGTTACTCAGAACAAAAAGTTCCAAGCAGCACGGGCTATGGTGAGCCCGTCGTACTTACCTTTTTTTTTTTTTACCCAAGAATACAGTATTAAATATATTGAAAATATAATAGTAGCTTCTTTTATCCAGAATTTTCTATGTCAGTTTTGTTCTTGATTTATATAAATGATATCAATAATGGCTTATACTGTACCTTATCTACATTTGCATATACACTGAGCTAGGAAGCCAAGTTTCAACAGCTATACAGCGACGCATCACACGTAGACCTAAAATCAACTTTTCTAAAGGAACAAAAATGAATTGTAATGCTGATCAATTATTGACATTGGAAGCCAAAATACAAATCAAGCTACTGTACGAACAACAAAGAGTCGATGAAAGTAAATATATGTTGAAAAGAAAACCAATATAGTATTAGGCTTTATTAGGATATCTTTCGATCTGTGATCAAAGTTATCCTCGCTATGTACTGTTTACCTGTACGTCTCGTACACGAATATCCATAACCAGGCACTTCAGTGGTTAATGAACCAGGCCACGAGAACACTGGTCCCCAGGCCGACAAGGAGGTACGAACACATTTTGACCTATCAATCATAAATGGATCATAACAAAGTCCCTCCATCCCCCATCGCGCCCTAATGCCATGTCACTCTTTCTGTAAACTTCATCTGTTGCATACGACGAGTCACAACAACGTGGCTGAAGATATGATGACCAAACCCCACGCCAGAGGATAACAAACGACGAAGTTTCGGTCCGTCCTGGACCATTATTATGACCACATACGACTTAATAATGGTCCCGGACGGACCGAAACGTCGTCGTTTCTTCATTCTATGGTATGTGGTTTGGTCTTCAACTGTTGCCTATCTCTCCTCCATGTCCTCCCATTCCTTACCCCTGTGTCAACCCATCCTCGTGTTCCAGTATCCCCCAACACTCCATGTCACTCCCTTCCACAGTACAAACCCCTTTTATTAGAGCGCCGTCGTACAGCAGCCTGAGGCGCGACGCCCACCAGGGCATTGTAGCATCGGCTGGAACACACAAAGCGACTTACCTTGGACCTGTGGATATCCCCATTGTCGGTTTCCCCGACTCCCAGTATCTTTCGGGTCTTGAGCCGAGAGTGGAGGTCCCCAGACGAATGTTTCCTGCGGGAGAAGAGAAAAGAAAGTTGTTATTCACCTGACAGACTCTCACAGGTCGGGAAGATGGGTCTGAGACCCCCAAGTAGCCTCGAGGAAAGTATGTAACTTGTAGCTTAAGACAGAACATGTCTTAAACAGAGCTCTTTCAGCTTAGCTGCAACTCTCATTTGCCGAAACTGGCCACAGTTTAATCTAATAATTGTGTTGGTAGGACAGGTTAATACAAATGCCAAAATTGCCCATTCGTAGTACATAACCATGTAAACAGGGTGGCAATTGGGCGCTGGTCAAGCAAAAAATAATTCTAGAATGAATGATGATCGAAGGTGTTGTGTAGATCATAGGATGTTAGTCTATGCCACAAGATAACTGTGGAATGGTAGGTAGTCCATTCCACTAGATGGATGAGGAATAGAAAATAAAAAACCACGTTCAAATGCTGAGGCACCTCTCCTATTATTTCAGGCACTATTATTATTATTTATCCTACACTATTATTTATTATTATTTACACTGAAATACTATTATTTCAGGCACCTCTCCTGTTATTTTTACCCCAGCTTCATGTATGCTCGTCCAAGCTTCGGATGGACATCAAAACACACCCTTCAGTCCTGTGTGTTCAAAATCGTCAAAATCTAAATTATTATCTGTATTATCAAATATAATTACGTGTACAGTTATACCTTGGTTAGGTGTTCAGTTCTGTTGACACTTATTTGTATTTGCAGCAGGAGGGTAAAGAATTTTGAAAGATGTGATTCGAACAGAGGACGTGAGCGAAGCCCTGTTTGAGGAATGTTCAAATGTTCAAACGTCATCAGTTGAGTCGTATGTTTTCATTCATTAACGGGGGGGGGGGGGGTTGGTAGTTGAATTAACGAGCATTTAGCCTTCGTTCATGGCAACGGGGTGAATTATTTATGAATGAAAAACACGCATGACTCAACTGTAGCACACCATTCGCTCTCTCTCTACCCTCTATTTTTATTTGTACTCAACACATCTTATTCTTTTTACCCATTAGTTTTAAGCTTTAGTCATTAATGTTTTTCCTGCCCGAAACGCTTTGCGTAATAGTGGCTTTAGGCATTGTATGTACTAGCTCTATCTATAAAGCCAACAAACTTTGTAAAATCTCTTTATGTATGTACCTTACCTAAATAAAATTATTAATTATTATTATTATTATTATTAACTGACGTTGAAACTTTTCTCGAACCGCGCAAGGGAGGCCTACCTGCCTGCTCGTCTCTCTCTCTACCCTTCCTCCCTATCTCCCCAATCCACATACCCCCACCTTCCATCCTTTCCTCTCCTCCCTCCCTCTCCCTACCCTCCTTCCTCTCCCACTACCTACCTTCTTCCCTCTATCCATTAGACTGATGAGGCCAACGCTCTCATCCACAACACACACACTTACCCGCTGAGTTTGGTCACTTGCATTAGGTTAAGTTTACTCGGTGTCCCATACACAGACAAAGTGTGTATGGGACACTGGGGCCGGACACCAACACCCAGGACACACAAGCATACTAAGGGTGAACACCTACACCCGAAAAAAACAAGGACACATAATAGTGTGTCCAGTTGTACAACTTCTTGGATTTTTGCATTCGCCGCGTCCGTTACTTCCGTTATGTCTGAAAATTTGAAATCGAAGACTATTCCCAATAAAATTTGTGAGGCTTCCAGGGAAATTTTTGGGTTTCATCAAATATTTTTTGATTTATTGATTTCAATTTATTGATTTCAATTATTTTATTGAATAATCATTATGGATTTTTACATTGTCCACCCGCACTTCATATTCATTGTTTATAGCTCGGGAATGATTCAAGCAAGTCGAATTCACCACACAGTGTAAGAAATTGGTTGTTAGGCTAGGCTAAGATATTCTAGGCTAGGTTAGGTTAAGCCAGGCTAAGCTAGATTAAGCTAGGATAGGCTAGGTTAAATTAGGTTGGATTTAGTTAGGCTAAGCTAGGTTAAGATAGGCTAGGCTTGGCTAAGCTAGGTTGGTAGTGCATTAATGGCATTGGGAAATATCATAAGCACTGTCCGAATAGAATTTTCGACACTGTTTTCTGGAGAAATGCTCCCATTGTATTCCTTCTTAGACCTTCTGGTGTTTGGTGACAGTGTTAGAATTGCCCACACACAGCCCCAAGACAGTGCCCACACACAGCCCCAAGACAGTGCCCACACACAGCCCCAAGACAGTGCCCACACACAGCCCCAAAACAGTGCCCACACACAGCCCCAAGACAGTGCCCACACACAGCCCCAAGACAGTGCCCACACACAGCCCCAAGACAGTGCCCACACACAGCCCCAAGACAGTGCCCACACACAGCCCCAAAACAGTGCCCACACACAGCCCCAAAACAGTGCCCACACACAGCCCCAAGACAGTGCCCCACACACAGCCCACACACAGCCCCAAGACAGTGCCCACACAGCCCCAAGACAGTGCCCACACACAGCCCCAAGACAGTGCCCACACACAGCCCCAAGACAGTGCCCACACACAGCCCCAAGACAGTGCCCACACACAGCCCCAAGACAGTGCCCACACACAGCCCCAAGACAGTGCCACACACAGCCCCAAGACAGTGCCACACACAGCCCCAAGACAGTGCCCACACACAGCCCCAAGACAGTGCCCACACACAGCCCCAAGACAGTGCCCACACACAGCCACAAGACAGTGCCCACACACAGCCCCAAGACAGTGCTCACACACAGCCCCAAGACAGTGCCACACACAGCCCCAAGACAGTGCCCACACACAGCCCCAAGACAGTGCCCACACACAGCCCCAAGACAGTGCCCACACACAGCCCCAAGACAGTGCCCACACACAGCCCCAAGACAGTGCCCACACACAGCCCCAAGACAGTGCCCACACACAGCCCCAAGACAGTGCCCACACACAGCCCCAAAACAGTGCCCACACACAGCCCCAAGACAGTGCCCACACACAGCCCCAAGACAGTGCCCACACACAGCCCCAAGACAGTGCCCACACACAGCCCCAAGACAGTGCCCACACACAGCCCCAAAACAGTGCCACACACACAGCCCCAAAACAGTGCCCACACACAGCCCCAAGACAGTGCCCACACACAGCCCCAAGACAGTGCCCACACACAGCCCCAAGAAAGTGCCCACACACAGCCCCAAGACAGTGCCCACACACAGCCCCAAGACAGTGCCCACACACAGCCCCAAGACAGTGTCCACACACAGCCCCAAAACAGTGCCCACACACAGCCCCAAGACAGTGCCACACACACAGCCCCAAGACAGTGCCCACACACAGCCCCAAGACAGTGCCACACACACAGCCCCAAGACAGTGCCCACACACAGCCCCAAAACAGTGCCCACACACAGCCCCAAAACAGTGCCACACACACAGCCCCAAAACAGTGCCCACACACAGCCCCAAGACAGTGCCACACACACAGCCCCAAGACAGTGCCCACACACAGCCCCAAGACAGTGCCCACACACAGCCCCAAGACAGTGCCCACACACAGCCCCAAGACAGTGCCCACACACAGCCCCAAGACAGTGCCCACACACAGCCCCAAGACAGTGCCCACACACAGCCCCAAAACAGTGCCACACACAGCCCCAAGACAGTGCCCACACACAGCCCCAAGACAGTGCCCACACACAGCCCCAAGACAGTGCCCACACACAGCCCCAAAACAGTGCCACACACAGCCCCAAGACAGTGCCCACACACAGCCCCAAGACAGTGCCCACACACAGCCCCAAGACAGTGCCCACACACAGCCCCAAGACAGTGCCACACACACAGCCCCAAGACAGTGTCACACAAACAGTGCAATACAGTAACTTTCATTAAGCAAGTAAGGGTCATTCGCACATTAATTGGAAATTTGCAAATGTGGCCGAGTGTCTCCTCCCATCCCGCGCCGTCACGCCCACGCACCCACTCTCCTGTCCGCCCACTCCCCGCTCTCACACCCACACTCCTGTCCGCCCACTCCCCGCTCTCACACCCACACTCCTGTCCGCCCACTCCCCGCTCTCACACCCACACTCCTGCCCGCCCACTCCCCGCTCTCATACCCACACTCCTGCCCGCCCACTCCCCGCTCTCACACCCACACTCCTGTCCGCCCACTCCCCGCTCTCACACCCACACTCCTGTCCGCCCACTCCCCGCTCTCACACCCACACACCTGCCCGCCCACTCCCCGCCCACACACCCACACTCCTGTCCGCCCACTCCCCACTCTCACACCCACACACCTGCCCGCCCACTCCCCGCCCACACACCCACACTCCTGTCCGCCCACTCCCCGCTCTCACACCCACACTCCTGCCCGCCCACTCCCCGCTCTCACACCCACACACCTGCCCGCCCACTCCCCGCCCACACACCCACCCTGCGTCGCTAATATTTCCCTGCGACTAATTTAATCAGAAGCGAGTGATATACTCCATCGGGCCTCCAATATTGATCAGATCAATACTGATCATGGCCCTTCCAGACGTATGGGGATTAGGATCTGGGATATGAGAGAAAAAAACTGGGATATGAGGCCAAGGAGCTGGGATAGGAGAACAAGGAGCTGGGATACGAGGACAAGGAGTTGGGATACGAGGACAAGGAGTTGGGATACGAGGACAAGAAGCTGGGATACGAGGACAAGGAGCTGGGATACGAGGACAGTAGGAGCTGGGATACGAGGACAAGGAGTTGGGATACGAGGACAAGAAGCTGGGATACGAGGACAAGGAGCTGGGATACGAGGCCAAGGAGCTGGGATACGAGGACAAGGAGCTGGGATACGAGGACAAGGGGTTGGGATACGAGGACAAGAAGCTGGGATACGAGGACAAGGAGCTGGGATACGAGGCCAAGGAGCTGGGATAGGAGAACAAGGAGCTGGGATACGAGGACAAGGAGTTGGGATACGAGGACAAGGAGTTGGGATACGAGGACAAGAAGCTGGGATACGA